GACTGGTACCACAACGCCGCACTCATCGTCTTCGTACGTCCTCTCGCTGCTCTGATGTCAGATTGGCGCCTAATCAAACTCTGCGCGCTGCGCCACAACAGGCCGTGGTCGCGTCGCACTTCCTCACGCGCTTCCACTTCGGCTGGGGATGGCTCTTCATCATCCTCGCGGTGTGCAACACGTACTACACGACGTCCATGGCGCGCGTGCGGCGGCGCGCGCGCGACGATATACAAAGGGAGCTCACGAAGACGGCGCTCATGTCCGAGACTGAGTCCGCCGAGTGGATCAACGAGTTTCTCGAGCGCTTCTGGCTTATCTACGAGCCTGTGCTCTCCGCAACGATCGTGTCCTCCGTCGACCAGATCCTCAGCACCAGCACGCCGGCGTTCCTCGACGGCCTGCGCCTTTCGAGCTTCACGCTCGGCACGAAGGCCCCGCGCATCGACAAGGTCCGCACGTTCCCGCGTACGGATGCGGATACGGTCGTCATGGACTGGGGCTTCTCGTTCACGCCTAACGACGTGTCCGATATGACGCCCAAGGAACAGGCGCGCAAGGTCAACCCGAAGATCGTGCTCCAGATCCGCGTGGGCAAGGGCGGCGTCGTCGCGTCGTTCCCCGTGCTCGTCGAGGACATCACTTTCAGCGGTCTCATTCGCATTCGGCTAAGGTTAATGAACAACTTCCCGCACGTCCAGACGGTCGACATCTCGTTCCTCGAGAAGCCGGTCATCGACTACGTGCTCAAGCCGATCGGCGGAGAGACGTTCGGCTTCGATATCGCGAACGTACGTCCTGACGTCTTCCATTCCTCGACGCTAAACAGGCGTTCGTTTGACTTTCGCGCTAACGGTGCAATTTGCGCTATGTTTAGATCCCCGGCCTGTCGTCGTTCATCCGCGACACGACCCACTCCATTCTGGGCCCGATGATGTATGACCCGAACGTGTTCACCCTCAACCTCGAGCAGCTGCTTTCGGGCGCGCCGATCGACTCTGCGATCGGTGTGCTCAAGGTTACGATTCGCCATGCGAGGGGGATTAAGGGCGCGAAGATTGGTGGGGGGACGCCGGATCCGTTTGTCAGTGTTAGTATCAACAGCACGAAGGAGCTCGCCCATACCAAGTACAAGAACAACACGTGAGTACTTCCTCTGTCTTTTTTGTTAGAGCAGGCGCTAAATGTGGCGGGTGTAGGACGAACCCGACGTGGAACGAGACCAAGTTCGTGCTGGTGAACAACCTCACGGATAACCTCGTGTTCAACGTTCTGGACTACAACGACCACCGGAAGAACTCTGAGCTCGGCTCGGCGTTGTTCGAGCTTAGCAAGCTCGCGGACGACGCGTCGCAGGAGGACGTTGTGGCGAAGATCTTGAAGGACGGGAAGGACCGTGGGGAGCTGCACTTTGATGTGGAGTTCTTCCCGGTGCTTAAGCCTACGGTCAACGAGTCGGGCGTTGAGGAGATGCCGGAGTCCAGTAAGTCTTCTGCATCTTCCAAAGGCGTGAGAGTTGGCGCTGATGTGTCGGGCACAGACATCGGTATCGCGCGCTTCGTCCTTCACCAGGCGAAGGACCTCGACACGTCCAAGGTCCACTCCGCCGACGTCAACGCCTTCGCGAAAGTCTACGTCGGCGAGAACATGACCAACAAATCTCTCACGGCCAAACACACCCTCCAGCCCGTCTGGGAATGCGCGACGGAGTACCTCTGCACCGACCGCTCCTCGTCCATCCTCACAGTCAAAATCATCGACGACCGCGACTTCCTGCGCGACCCCTGCATCGGCTACATCTCCGTGCGCCTCGAGGACCTGCTCGAGTCGAAGAAGGTCGCCGGCCGCGATTGGTGGCCGCTTAGCGGGGCGAAGAGTGGGAGGGTGAGGCTGAGCGCGGACTGGAAGCCGCTGAATATGGCCGGGAGCTTGCATGGGGCTGATCAGTATGCGCCGCCGATTGGGGTGGTGAGGCTTTGGTTGAAGAAGGCGACGGATGTGAAGAATGTGGAGGCGGCGCTGGGCGGGAAGAGCGATCCGTATGTGCGGGTGTTGGTGAACGGTACCGTTCAGGCCAGGACGGAGGTCGTCAACAACAGTGCGTTCTTTCCATCTCCTTTCCCATTGTTGGGGTGAAGAGTTGCTGATGGACGTATACGCTAGACCTCAACCCCGAATGGGACGCGATCATCTACACGCCCATCCACTCCCTCCGCGAGAACCTCCTGCTCGAAGTCATGGACTACCAGCACCTCACCAAAGACCGCTCGCTCGGCACCGTCGAGCTCTCCGTCAAAGACCTCGCGAAAGAAGTTCCCGAAGGCGAGGGCGACCCGCTCTTGCGCTTCCAGAGCACCGGCAAGCGCGAGGCGGCGGAGAACATCCGGCTCGGCCGCGGCCAGGCGTTCAAGGGCCAGCTGCACTACGTCGCGGAGTTCGTGCCGGCGTGGGCGATCCAGGGCGTGTCTTTCGAGGGCGGCAACGCGGTATTGGAGAACGCGGACGATATGGACTCGACGGGCGGGGATATCGACGAAGCGTCGTCGGTCAGCTCGAGCGACGAGGAGCGCGACGCCGTCCCGCGCGGCATTACGGCGTCGAAGCCGCTCGTCGAGAATCTGCCGGATATCCCCGTGTCGGCGCCCGAGGCGAACGTGGGCGGCGTGCCGTCGCCCGCGCAGCAGCAGCAGCAGCAGCAGCAGAAGCGCGGGCACAGGTCGACGAAGAGCACGGATACGACTAATACGGCGCTTACGGCTGGATCGGATAAGAGCGGCTCGTCGCGGCAGACGAATGGGACGCGGGACACGTCGCCGCCGGAGGACGAGGGATCTGGTGTGGCGGTGCC